GCGTTTGACAGGGTTTCTCATTCAGGTCTTCTAGTAAAGTTAGGTAGTCTGGGAATCAATAAAGTGGTTACCGACTGGATTCAAGACTTTCTAAAGGACAGAAGACAAAGAGTACGAGTTAACGGGGTTTTATCAACATGGGAATCGGTTAAGAGTGGCGTTCCTCAGGGTACAATTCTAGGCCCACTTCTTTTCCTGATTTATGTTAATGAGATTCCATCGGTAGTTAAGTCATCCTGCTTACTGTTTGCTGATGACATCAAGATATGGAGGGCTTTGCACGATGACAGTGATCAACTTGCTTTGCAGGAAGATTTAAACTTGTTAAGTGATTGGTGTAAGCACTGGGCCTTGGAGATTAACTTAAGCAAGAGTGTAGTTATGCATGTATCCCATAGTCACGTGCACAATTACTCAATGAATGGCATTACTCTCCCAGTGGTCACTGAGTACAAGGACTTGGGAGTGGTTGTGCAGCATGACTTGAAAACAGCAACAAACTGTAGAACTGCAGCCACTAAGGGTTTTAGAATGTTATGGGCCATACGCAAGGCTTTTGCGAACTTTGACGCTGATATATTTCGTATATTATATCCGACTTATATCAGACCTCATTTGGAATATGGGATCCAGGCAGCGAGCCCGTGTTTCAAATACGAAATAGACTTATTAGAAAGGGTGCAAAGAGTAGGAACTAAGCTAATAAAGGGTTTCTCAACCCTGTCATATGAGGAGAGGTTAAGTCGACTGGGTTTATTTCCACTGTCATACAGACGACTTAGGGGTGACCTAATACTAGCATACCGTATCCTAAGAAATGATTTTGGAGCTAATTTATCTAAATTATTTCTTCCTTCTAGCACCAACCAATTGCGAGGACATCACCTCAAGGTTCAAAAACCACGGTCGAATCGTCTGCGTCTGGAAATCCGTTTTTCGCATCGAATTGTGAACCATTGGAACTCCCTACCGGAACATGTCGTATCAGCGCCATCCGTTGATTCATTCAAGGCGAGATTGGACCTCCTGTATGAAATAAATCGAAAGGATTAACACAGGCATATAGCCTACTATCCTAAATAAATTGTAAACTGTAAGATATCCCCCTAACTATCTGAAATAATCTCTGTCAGCAAAGTGTTTCTGATTTATTTGAATTTATCAGTTCAATAAGTAATGCTAATGTATCCTAGAAGAAAATGATACCCATGGATGCTACATCCGTTTTCACCAATGTTCCTTCCGCTGAAACTATTTGCTTTATATGCTAAATCATTGAGGATAATTATGTATACGTGGGTGTTCCGTTTCACTACTTAAAGGAACTACTATTGAGGTGCACTTTTAATGTCCAGTTCTGGTTCAACAACAAGCTTTGTAGACAAAGAGATGGAGTGGCAGTGGGGTCACCATTGGGTTCTTTATTTGCAGACTGTTTCTTGGCAAGTCTAGAGAATAGTATGTTACGAACCACTATCGATAGTTCCCATATGTACCAAAGATACATGGATTATACTTTTATCATAGGTGACGAGAATACCAACATCGAAATGATAACTAAGGGAGTTCAATAGCTGCCATATTTTGGATGATTTCTTAAAAAGAAATCTGATAGTTCTTGTAAAAGATCGAGCTACAGGAAACCAACGTGGAATGATCAGTACATGAATTTTCATAGTTGGGTCCTTTTGAGAAGAAAGAGAAACCTGATCCACTCCTTATCCTTAAGAATAAGGATATGTTCCACTGATACAATCGACGGCAAACTGGAGCGACTGAGACAAGACCTCATGGAAAATGGATATCCTCCAAGATTCATCGAAAAGAGCATGAAGTTAAAGGAAAAGCCTGAAAGAACCTAGATAGTGCTAAAGAAACTGCTATTTATGAAATTTGCATTTAAAGGTGATACCATAGCTTAGATCCTGAAGAGACGCTTATCCTGATCGTTGAGAAAAGCCTTCTTTGCAGGTGAGATACGGATCAGTTTCTACAGCCGGCAAAAGACCAATGGATGTGTGAAGGATGAACTGCCACTTCACTGTGTGTTTATAAATTCAACTGCTCGTGTGGACATTATTATATTGACCGCACAAATTGCAAACTTTCCACACGCATCTCTGAAAATTCCCGACAAAAGGGGAATACATGACAGTTACTAGCAAATTTCTCGAAAAATTAGTGAACTCAAGCAACGTACTTTAGTTTGCTTTTACTTAAGTAATTCACTATTATTACTCTCATATGCTCCTTTTTTGTACGTTTTCTTACAATCGTCACGTTTCTTAAGTGGACCCTCAACAATGATTGGACTGTAGTAACTAGTCTGATGTGTCTAGTTGTTTCTTTGGTACAAACTAATTTCTATCAGTCAGGTTTGTAATGTGGCCAACCTCATTTACCTTTGTACCGCTGAGTATTGCGTAATTTACAACTTGTACTATTATTTGAGAAGTTATATCAATTATTTCAATTCCCTTCTTTCGATGAAAGCAAAAATAAGGATGGGGACGTGGAATGTTTGTAAAATGTACGAAACTGAAAAGGCTGCCAAGGTCGTAGTAGAAATGAGAAGATATAAAATAGAAGTACTGGGAATCTGCGAGAGCAGATGGAACGGATGTGGAAGGTGCCAACTATCAACTAGAGAGACAGTAATCTATTCCGGCCACCCAGAGGACGATCACGAGCACACCGAGGGAGTGGCCCTCACGATGTCAAAAACAGCAACCAAAGCCCTCATGCAGTGGGAACCAATCTCCTCCAGGATAATGGTAGTCAGGTTCAACTCAAAAGGAAGGAAGCTTACAATCATCCAAGGCTATGCGCCTACAAACGTCTCAGAACAACAAAAGAAGGAGGATTTCTACAGACAACTACAAACAGTAATGGACAACGTCCCAAATGGCGATATCAAAATCTTGATGGGTGATATGAATGCGAAACTGGGAGGAGACAATGCAGGAAGAGAACTCACCATGGGCTGTGAGGCCTTCGGTGAAATGAACGACAATGGTGAACTCTTCTCAAACTTCTGCACGTTCAATCATCTGGTGATTGGTGGCAGTGTGTTCAAACACAAGGCGACATGGATTTCACCAGATGGACACACCAAAAACCAGTTAGACTTCATCTCAATCTCAAGAAAGTGGAGACGGAGCCTACTTGATACAAGGTTGAGAAGAGGAGCAGATGTGGGTTCAGACCACTATCTAGTAAAAGGGACTTTCAAGGTGAAGCTAAAAGCCTCGAGGATAGCTGGGGATAGGCCACAATTCAAGTTCAACACTCAAAGCTGAAGGACACAACCACAAAGGACACTTTCACTGCAACTGTCAGAGCAATGAAGGAAACACTACGTGACATCACTGAAGAATCATGCGTGGAAGACCATTGGAAATCTTTGAAGGTGATTTTTAACGAAACGTGTTCAACAGTTGTAGGAAGAAAGAAGAGACACGACAAGGAATGGATCTCAACGGACACTTGGAAGCTAATAGACGAGACTGGTAAAAAAGAAAATGATTCAATGCAAAGAAATCCATGGCCTCAAGTCTATAGCCACCACCAGGTGTGTTTTCCACTGATTTCAACCACCGTGGGCGTCCCCTACGAAGGTGAGTGAGAGCATCTGGCGCATACAATCTGGCTGGCTGACCTACAAGTCCGCCTAGAGGACCCTTAGCTAAGAAACTCTGATGCCAGACCTAAGGTGTGAATGGGTTACAGAATCCTTAAGTGTCGAATGGCACATAAACCTGTCTTTGTCGCTCGCAAACATAGGAACGCAACAGCACTGAATCACGGACTGGACTTCACGTCGAAAGCTCGAGGTGTGGTCTCTGAAGACAACTCCCTGGTTCGGCCTGGGTGTCCAGCACAAACTTATTTCATGTGAAGGATGTGGCTGACTGAATAAAATAGCATAAACACGGGAAGACACTAGTTACTTACAATTAATGACTAAGTGACTGGGTCTAAATCAGTATGTGTACTACTAGAACAGCTGGTTCGAACCTGTTGGATAATCAGACATTTGACTCAATTATAGTATAAACTCCAATAACAATGAACTGTGGTTGGGACAGGATAATGTTGAAACCGGCGCTGAAGATATTGTCCAGAAGGACAATGAAACCTCTAACACTAAAGCACCAAATTCAGAGAACGCAACTACATCGACATCATATACCTCAGCCGAAAGCCTCTATTGTTCCAAAAAGATTATTTACATGGAGAGAAGTCAGGTTATAATGAATCGGGTTGTTTTTAACATGCTGGGGAACCCCAGTAAGTATACACCTCTACTTCGGCTCAGATAAACAGTCAAACTTTAATGAATTCATACCACGTTTTGATTTGACCACCTTCACATAATTGTATCTCTCTCCCTGCTTAATCCAATGTCAATCCAAAGCTCAGCGAGGAAGGCGACAGCGTAGCATGTATAAAACGTCCTTCAATAATCTCAATCGATTCACCATAATCTCATTGACCGCATTCCCCTTCTAAATAAAACTATACGCCCATCCTGAATATTACTCACAATATTATGCTTTTAACACGTGAGAGTGAATACAAACATCGGTAGTTGGCCAAAGACACCTAACCTCTTCATATCTTGCATATCAACGACCACTTCCCACAGCTATAAAGAAGAACAGATGAAAGTGAGATGCAGTACATCACGTCGTTCCATCAATAGGAGGATATCACGTCTAAACAAGAAATGACACAAGTTGGTGGATGCGATCGATTCATTATTTATTCTATTTTTGATTACAGCTTGATTCTACACCGTATTTTTGGGACAAGTGTGGAATTTTCAGCGTGGATATCAGTAGCCCAAAATTTGCACGCCGACCATAGATATCAGGTGTGCGTCGGCGTGGGCTCGAACCCCGGACCATATGCATGGTCGGCGAGGGTCCTAACCACTGTGCCACCGACGCACAGTGGTGCAACCGCTATGAAACATCTGCTAGTCGGATTTCTATCTCAATTCAGATACTCACCTGGGTTTTATTCTTTACTTTTTTTTCACAAACCAACTTACATACATCCATTTATGCTTAGCAGTCCAATTTCGAATCAAAAAAGGCAAATTGAATTTGTTTTAAGTTTTTTATGCCGTTTGTATATTTTTTAAACAATCACAAATTATTTGTGTATCACTAAAGCAAATATCCTCTTTAAAATCTGTACTAACAATAACAGTCTTTGACGTGTTCAGCGATTTTGTGATATATCGGGTGATCAGGCAAGAATTCACCTATGAAAACAGAAAACAAAGAAAACAGATAACAATAAGAAGAAATGTGACTTGTAAACCAACGACAACAATCACTTGTTATTAGTGCAACAACTACCTGACTGACCAAACCCTGCTCGTTAGGTGGAGAGAGGTTTGAATTCGCAATCCACCACCAACTTTTGGCAGCCGACGTCTAGACATCAATAGGGAACCAGAACTTCACAAACGAAACAATATTTATGGTTTGTTTTTCTTTGTTGTCACAAAGTCCATGTGTATGCATGCATTGAACCTTAAACTAATTGTATCAATAACGTTTGTGGAGGAGTATTCAGCTTATGAGTTCTTCGACAGAATTAATGAATTCACTATATACAGCTTTTCTTACAGTTGTTACCTGTTTTAAATTTGCTACGGGAAAGAAATGTTTTCAGTCTACAGTTAACGTTTTTATCTTACTTGTACCGAAAATGTCTTCGACAAAAATTCTGGTGCTAATTTAGTCCTCTACCTTTCTAAATAGACAGACTTTTAGGCACATCTTTAGAGATTTTCTTTCACAAGGATTAGTATCCCCTCGATTTTCCTACACACATACTACTACTGCAAATACAAATAAAGGTGGATAGACTTAACTAGAAGTAACACTCAGTTTCTATTCATTATTTTTGTAAAAACACAGTTTTTGTTCAGTGAAGAAATTTCTTTTCAACAACTTCATTTTCAAGCTGTACAGTCGTATTTATATTACAGAAAAAGGTTATTAAGTGGCACTAAATAATTGCTCAGTCAATGTACGTATATATGTATTAAAATTTATAAGGGGTGGAGTTGAAGTGGATAAATTACAAAAATATTAAAGATTGTTTTATAACAAAAATGTCAAGTGTTGTCTAAAATTTTGAAAATTATGTGCTCAAAAACGTTTTGTCAAACCCCTTTCTTTACCTTGGTCATAATAATGTTCTTTCTAGTTTTTATTTTATTTTACCACTTGAATTCTTTCCACTTCGCTTCACATCTTCATTCTTATCGTAATCGTACTCCTAATTTTCAAAATTTTTAGACAACACTTGACATTTTTGTTATAAAACAATCTTTAATATTTTTGTAATTTATCCACTTCAACTCCACCCCTTATAACTTTTATCACATATACGTACATTGACTGAGCAATTATTTAGTGCCACTTAATAACCTTTTTCTGTAATATAAATACGACTGTACAGCTTGAAAATGAAGTTGTTGAAAAGAAATTTCTTCGTTGAACAAAAACTGTGTTTTTACTTATGAATAAATGGGTATTTTTTCGACATTACCTTTGTGTTTTCAGTGGAACATGGGGCTTTAAAAGGGATTAAAAGTACTAGAAACCAGTCCTGCACCATCAACCTACAAATGGCTAAAGGGGTAATTGCATGCTAATAATACTGATATCTGCCTAAGATGTCCAGAAGACTCTCGCACCTTGTCACCGTCTTCTCCCAGAAGAATATATTATCTGCGAACCCTAAGTCGACAAGACTGTCCCCTCTGGTGAGAAGTCTCTGAGGTCAGCTAGAGTTACTTCCACAAGTAGATCTGCGACGAACTGAATTGAATACTTCAAGTAGATTTCTCGCATCGCTGATTCAATAGCATAATGCTTCAGCGAACTTCCCCACGGAAAAGAACACTGTCGCTATTGAAACTTCAGTCTACATCTCCATATTCGTTTCGGTACACAAAACGGCGAAACGTGGACCCTTCATTTGGTTTTCATTTCCAAATACAACAAACATATCATCGTAATATCTTCAGTAAACTGAACAATTTTATAAGTACAATAACAAGAGTTTCAGAAAGTCTATTAGGTTAACATTTAAAAAAATGAGAATGATGATCCCGTATAAATATACATAACTTAAATTAAAGTTGGCTATTTCCTGTGAAACCTGTAGTAAAGTTAAGAGTTGACCACTGTGCCTTGGTACAGAAGCGAAACACCTTAATTAGTCTTCGCAGAGCTACAAACCCTAGGATTCTAAATAATGAGATGAACAATCCACACCAGGTTGAGAGAAATATCACGACTTGTTACACAAACAAACAAGATAGTGAATTAGTTATATTTTATTTCGCCAATGACTAAGAGTACTAATTCGTTACTACTAATAGATAATGACATCTGATGGCAAGTTTCCACAGACCACATCGGCAGATATTGGAATTCATGGGCCATGGGATCAGGTCCAAGTCACTGAATCGTCAACGAGCTCGTTTAGATACCGGAAGGTCTTGGAATCGAATCCCGTTGGCTGCGAAGACTAAAATGATGTCAAGTGCTCGTTGCTTATTTAGTTGTTCTATAGCTGATGTCAGCTAATTATTAATCCTGTCATCGATCAAATCCCTGCAAACCAAAACTTGATAACACAGCATGAAGTCAAACTTACAAAACTGTAGGAACAACAGTAGCTGAATATCATTTACCTTCTCAGGACCGAAAATAGTACAAGCATCAATGTTTTGAGAAGTGCGATCACTTAAAGATGGCAGAGTATTTTTTTGTGACAAAACCTAATGGAACACAAGTATCATGATAATAATATATATGCAATGTCATACCATATCACCAATCCTGCCATTACGTGAAATAAGGATCACTAAATGGTCAGAAAACTCTAGCTGAACAACATGGACCATGAATCCAGCAGTAGGAAGCTGTAAATCAGACTACACAAACAAAAATGGTAATTGTTATGGATGATGCATAGACGCAATTACCTTCAATACAGTAGGGTAAGCAGTCATTAGCAGGTGAGAAAGCCTTCAATCCCCCCGTTTATGTGCGTACAAAGGTAATTGCTGAATACGTTTCCCCTTAAAATATTAATTATAATTCTGATTTGACAACACAACGAAATAACCTATCACATTACAAGTACAATAAACGGCAAAAGTATACAAATACCTAACGAATAATAATAACTAAAGATGTGCATAACCTCGCCTAGATTACTAGCTTGCTGGCTTCCTAGCAGGTCCCAAGCCCGGATAAAGAGGGAGGATTGGTGCGTGGTGCTAACTCCACCACCAAAACTCAACCAAACCGCTACAGAAATTTCAATGCTTCAATAAATTAAAAAATTCTAAAAATATAAACAGTAACCTTATTTTTTGCTGGAATCGGGGTAGTGAAATGATGCATGCTGGTGAAAGCCTTCGGAGAGCCATTCAGCCGATGTGCCTTCTTTCGATGAAAGCAAAAATAAGATTCAGATTTTCAGATGTATTGGTTGGGGATAGAAGGCTTGGAGCCTATGCTTATCCTTTTCTGGTAGATTTCTGTGGTTGTCCAAACCCTTGTTGAACGAATCAGTTGAGGTTGCAGACACCACTTCTTCTGGAGTCGGTTCTAAGAGTTTATGACTCGATGTGAGAACCAGTGCTCAACAGTAATATGATTTCTCCTTGGCTTTTGAACTCTCCTGCTATATCCCTTAAGGTGTTCCGACCTGGTGGGAAGGAAAAGAGAAAATAGGTCAGGTCCGTAGTCACTATTTGAAATTTTAAACATTGTGATTAAATCTCCTCTCTGCCTACGGTATGACAGTGAGAAGAGATTTAAACTGTCTAGTCTCTCCTCGTATGATAAGTTAGTCATGCCGTGAGCCCTTTCTAGGATGTGTAGGTCCCCTTTTAGACAAGGACTGGCGGCCTGGACGCAGTTTTCCGGTCTTTATCTCATATATATTCATATGTGTTTAGGTTTCAGATAGATGATATTTGTCATTTTTGGTCAAAACTTCGAAAAATTACCCTTTACGTTCAAAGACTTTAGTAAAAGGTTTGTTTAAAAAAAATTTTTGTTTCCGCGGGATGAAAAAATATAGGCATTTAGAGGAGGGTATGTCCGGTTTCAAGGTCATGATGGGTTCCAGCGCCCACTGGTCATATGTTTCCGTGAACTCGTTTGCCATTGAAAATTCAAGGTGTTTTTGGACGTCCTAAAGTGTTGAGGTCAAATTTTGTCGTTGGATGCTACGATGAGGCTTATATCTAGTCTGATGTTCAGTTATTAAGTTAACTACTTTTCAGTGGTTAACGATTATGGTAAACCTGCAATCCCTGAGTTAACTCACGTATAATTTGGTAATATATTAAGGTGTTCATAGCACAGTGATATCTAGTTGCAGTCTCTTAAGCTTATCACAACGCTGAATTAAATCTTGCTAATTCTGAGCTAAGTGTAACTAAACTCGGGAACTGTTCCGCAATTGTTCGATCATTTGCACAGATTGGGACCGTGTGCTGGTTTATCAGTATGACTGGCACTGATTCAGCGGTCTGCTCTTCTACGCCTTTTTAGAAGTAGCTTGTCAGTTGTATTTCAGGCATGCTAGGCAACGTTCAACACACAGTGCTCCATTTTGAGGAAGAGCAGGGTCATTTCAGTACATACTGAGTTTGTTTCAAGTAGATAAAATATTCATTTATCGTATAAAGGCATTATTGATGCGGTGGTTAGATTTTGTTTGGAATTGTTTTAATTTTGCTCTTTTAAGCTCTGCTGGGGTATAAGTGATGTATCGTATTAGTCACCATTACTCAGGATATGCGGCTGATACAAACGGAAACAATAAGGTAATACAAACATTTTCTCAAAAATAAGCGATTAGCAGGGGCACACCGTAATCGGTCCATTTAATAGCAAACTGTTCAACCTCCTGGTGAACTCTGTTATTTCCCTCATGGAAAAAAACATAAAACAGTGCTGTATCTAGGGAATTTCTCCTTTAAAGAGTCTATATGTGCAGTTGCACAGTCGACAGTGAATGTTACCGTTTTCGATATATCACTCATAAATCCCTTAAACGTCTGCACTATCTCCCTGATATCTGCAAATCTTTCCCTCCTAGTAAGAGCAAATAAGACAGTCCTACCTCCTCCAAATTCATCAGTCACGACAGACTGATATAAAAGCCATTTGTAATAAATTTGGAGAAGTTATACCTTCTTGTACTGCAACTTACCCCATCTTATTCATTTTATAAGTACAAGCAATTCCAACTACTTCTGAAAACTTATGATAGAGGTCTATCATATCATTACGAAACCTGCATTGTCATGGGAAACACTAACTGGACCTATCTGCCTCAGTCGATGAAGGAGGTCTTGCAAACCACCGATTTCTATTCTACTGCTACATTTATTTTGATACGACTTGCGTTTATTTATCCTAGCCCGCCTATTTTTAATATCATCATATAGGATAACTTTACCGAATCTTTCATGCATCAAATCCATGATTCCATGGGCATCGGTCTTCCTTTCAATAAACGGTTGCGCAACTGTCATTTCCTCTGATGATTACCGACGTCTAGACACATCAAGAGAGATGAAAATTCAGCCGTACTGTAGTTGTTGACTGACATGAAATACTTTCGGACGTTTGAAAACTCATCCAATGTCCTTAAAGCCAGCACCTCCGGGAGCACGTTTACCCTCAAAAGTGCATCCATACCTCACAAATTTGTATTCCATAGGGCCGGATGTTTTTTTCTTGAAGCAACTCTGTAGGATGTGTCGGACCCCTTTCAAAGCAATAATGCCCAATTTAGTTATTACTTTCATAAATGTACCAAAAGCTTGCTTAAATTGCATCCACGTATAAAATACACAACAAAGCAGTATTCTTTGGGATATAGCTGTTATATCAGACAATATAGATGACATATTTCGTGAAGTAGAGGCTGTAGGAGTATTTTGTAACATCATGTAACGGTTTTAAGAATAATTAACGAATATAACACTATAATTTCAAGTAAATAAATGATAGTATATATTTCAGTGCTTGTATACCATCGTGACCTAGTAAATTGTAGTTGAATTATATTCATCTAGTAAGCAAAATGGATAAGTCCTATTTTGGGAATTAAAAGGAAAGCCTCTAAATTACTGTTGAATTGTATTCACCTAGTAGAAATTCTTAGACATCTCAGTGTACTTTAGAAACCAATGATGAATCCAAATGGCATGTGACTCATCACACTACACTCACATCAAAAAAATTAAAACGCCATTATAACATAGAAAGTTTTTAATTCAACTGCCTGTAACTTTCCATGCGAAAATTTTAAAAAATTACCGCTTTGACTTAGATTTTAGACCAATAGGAAGCCAAAAGGCAATCAAAATCTGTCTACGTCGATTGTTACATGTGTGAAAAGTCAGCTTGGTTTTAAGTAACTCGGTTCTCGCATAATTCAGTATTATTCAAAACTATATGCTTTTCTTAGCCTTTTTATATCGTCATTTTCTCTGATTGCTGAGGTAACTGCGTACTACCCACACACATATTATCAACATATTATATATTATAACATACACATATTATTATTATTTACACATATATTAACTGCGCACTAGTTAAACTGGGCGAGAAGTTGCTACACATCTCTCCATGCAGAAACAACGTGTGACCCAGCATTCATGTGAGTCGTGCAGTGGGCTTGAACACTTCATGAAACTACCGCTTCCCCCTGACATATTCCACGTGAGTGTCAACCTTGATATAAACAATTCATGATGTACTGCCGTGTGCGAGAGCTTTAGTGCTATGTAAAGATGGGTACTTCTTGAGGTAAGTAACTATTCCACTCCGTCTGTGGTTTAGTTAATCTTTTGTATGCACTGTAAAACTCTGGGGGTTAAGTTTCCTTTCACTGATTCCGGATGTTAGCTACGATTCTGAAGTGGTGATTACATCCAAGGCTTCAGAATCTACCATACTACCCATCTCACTTCATTTATTTCACAGCATTAGTGTGGGAAACAATCCAGCTTAGTACTTTCACATTCCACCTACAGAGGTTTAGGAACCACCAAATTTTAACTATCAGTGCCCGAAAACCCTTATTAACAAGGTATTCCTCGTCATGCGCTTAACTCCAGTGAGGTCTGCCAGGCATGAGTCAGCAGTGCGAATTCCTGATACTATGAGTGTCTAGGCATTGCCAAAAAATTACATCCCTCTCAGCTTTGGAGTTTAGTATGACTCTGAGAAGTCTCATCGACTGATTTATTGTGGAGTTTGAGTCTGTGGCTGATTCAATACGAGCTACGAATGGTTAAGCCTACTACAATTTTTGTGAGTGGCTATATCCATGTCGTGTTTGAACCTGGCTTTGGTGTCTGACGTCTTGGTTCTCCTACACTTGATAGACAATGATCAACCTGTCGACGAGATCAAACTTACTTCGATTGGCTTTCTACTTTGGAGCGGTTGTGTAGCGTCGTCATATCCTTCAAGGACAAGACGCCTTCTCTATTGGTCATGTCTCGCTTTTTGCGAAACTACATCACATCACTGACTGTCGCCATCTTCCCCACCTGGCTTCGGTGGTGACTGCCTGCCACCCAATTCTGTCGATTATGAGGCGAGATCTAATATTTCAATCACTTGTGCCGCGAATTTTACTACGACAGTCGCTGACTTTAATGGTTATATATACACATCGCTGTATGTATAGTTATTGAAGTGTGTATGTTATTTCATCGTGCATTAATTCCTCTTTATGTATTTCATTAAAGAAAAAACTAAGGTTTGTGCAGATTTATGTGTTATCATCGTTTATTTAGTCGACTTGTAATCAGCTGCGTACAGCTTAGAGAAATCATTAAATTTACGAATAAGTTAATCTTGCCATAGTTAAGAATGTAAAATGTCAGCTGATTAGAGACCCCGAAATTTATAAACTACTCAGAAATTATATATATGTATATGCGCAGGAAATAGAAGTCACAAGAAATAATGCTTAGATGCAATGGCAAGAGTTACGTAATAAAAAGGTGGACATCAACTCTGTATCGCGGTACGTTCAACGTTTGCGTTACATTTTTACGTGATTCGTTACATAAAATTTATCTTGTTGTAGTACTTGCACAAGTACTATACCACTTCCATACTTGTAACCACTAACTCTCATTTCTAATAGTTATGGTTAATCAAAGTAAAAAGCAACGAACCCAATCCCCTGTAAAACTGGTGTCTAATTTAACGTCCTTGATTGCTACATCAAGCAACACACCCCCAACAAACGGCTATAGTGAGTCACATAACTCAC